GCAAAGATGTCTGGAATCGAGCCTTCAAAATTATTGGAAGAGAGAGATAAGTAGCTAAGTTTGTTCAGCTTTCGGATAGTTGAGGGAACATTTCCTGTGAAGCTGTTATCTGAAAGTGCCAGCTCTGTGATTGCAGTGAGGTTGCCAATAGATTCTGGAATCGAGCCTCGAAAATGGTTGGAAGAGAGATCTAAATATACGAGTTTGCTTAATTTTGAGATAGTTGAGGGAACATTACCAGTAAAGTTGTTACCTGTAAGTATCAACTCTCTGATTGCAGTGAGGTCGCCAAGGGATTCTGGAATCGAGCCGGATAAATTGCAATTAAGAGGTTCAAACGCCAAAGAGAATGGAGATTAGCAATTGAACCAGGTACCTTCCCAAAAATACCAGTATTAGAGAAGTCCAACTCTAAAACACTTCCACTGAAATTCCGATGGAAATTTGGCAAAGTGTCTGTTAATAAAGGATTATCTCCCAATCTCAGCACTTGCAAGTTTGGTAGATGAAAAATCTGAGACTCGCTTATGTTCCCAAACATGCCGGTGCCTCGAAGACTTAAGTACCTAAGGGAAGAAGAAAGGTTCTTAGGTAACTCACTTATGTTCCCAAAAATGTCCACGTTGTCAAGCAACAGTACCTCCAAATTGGTTTAGTGTGAAGCAAACTTCTGAAGGTTGTTAGACCAAATTGGAATTCAGTGAAATGCCAGGAGAGATCAAGTGAAACCAATTTAGACAAGTTTGATAATACTGCTGGGATCTGCATCTCCCATATCATATTTCCAGAATGTGAAAGATTGAGATGCGTCATACTACTGAGTTCACTAATGCTATTTCCAAGTGGAAAGTCACTCAACTTGTTGAAGGCAAGGTTGAGTCTTTGGAGATGACCAAGTTTTTTGAGGGTGCTGTTAGCATTGATGGTTCCCCTAAGACAGCTCGAAGAAAGATCGAGGCCTATGACATGACCTGTAAATGCATTGCAAGTAACACCACCCCATTCACAACAATCTCTTGTAGCATTCCAGGACAAAGTCTTGGCTTCGGCCTCGCTGTCACAACCATTGCGATAAGCATTTGGATCAACTGTGAGGCCTTGCTTAAGTTGAAGCAAATAAACAGCTTCATGGGGGGGGACAGAGATGTTTCCCAGCATATGTAAGCTGAGATTGTTGCACAAAAAGTGAATAGAAGCAGAAAGCTATTATCAATTGTTGGTACTCCATTGCATATATCTAACTATCTAGCTGGAACTTGTACTCCATATTTATTTACATAACAGTGTGATCAATAATGCATTACTGTTGTTGACCCAAGTCAATGAACACAAAAGCTCCTCCTTTATTAAGTCACACGACTTTACTACCACTAATACAATTTTAATATTTTTTTCAAAAACTTTACTACCACTACTACAATTTTAATATTATTTTTTTCATAAACTTTACTACCACTAATATAATCTTAATATTTTTTTCTAAAGTGTACGCGTTTATCTTTCTAAAAAGAAAATTGCCAACTCATTTAACAACCATAGAAAAAGTTTCTTCCAATGAAATTACCTAGTAATAGCAAAGAGTAACCAACAAGGGTTGTGGTGGAGTGGTAAGTACTCCTTCATCCTTAATCAGTGGTCTCGGGTTTGAATCTCCTTGGATATGGAGTCGCATTTGTTAGGAGTGTTTTACCCCCAATGTAGGACTTCTTGGCATGAATCCGGATTTAGTAAATCCGGACTCCAATGTGGGTATCGAACACAACCATTAAAAAAAAAAAAGCAAAAAATAGGTGCAACTAGGGGTATCCATCCAACAGGCGGATTAGGCTGAATTTAAGAATATAACCCACCCCGCCCCAATTATATAACCCGACCTAGTCTATAACATTGACCCACCCAATTTATCTTTCAGGTTTCTACAGAATTAGTGTGGGTATTATTGGGAGTAGGGGTGTACATAGGTCGGTTTGGTTTGGTTTGGTTTTTCATTAAAAAAAACCTAAACCAATTATGTCGGTTTATTAAATCTAAATACCAAATCAAACCACGCAAAGTAAGGTTTTTTCGGTTTCGGTTTTAGTCGGTTCTTTCGGTTTTTTACAACTTAACGGTGTTTGAAAAAGAGATCAAATATATTTTCACCTACTTTTGTGATAAGCTAAACTTAAGAAATGTTAAATGAATAGAAATTTTCGTAAAGACGGTAAAATTCACTTGAGTACAATTTTTATTTTT